GCAGTGTGCATAGGGATTTGTTCATAGTTTTTTTTTAAATATAGTCCGGCCCTCCAACGGTCTGAGGGACAGTGAACTGGCCCCCTGTTTAAACAGTTTAGGACCCCTGCGCTAGATCCTCGTCTCAGAGACAGCTTTAGGGGAGCCCAGACTGTGATGAGCCTCCTGCAGAGAAGGTTCCGGATCAGGCAGAAGGAGGAGCTGCTGGAGAGGGCAGTGGCATGAGGGCGGGCGCGAGTCAGCCGTGTCCAGAGCACGGTGAGCTCCAGGCGTGGGGCCTCCCTGGAAGGCTCCAGGCCTCCTCGTGGGCTTGGCCACAAGGCAAGGCGAAAGTCCCCTGATTTATGACGGCACAAATCCCCCCGTACCCGGAAGCCACCGAGAGGCAGCAGAAGCAGTTAAGTGACTTCCCAAGTGTGCGGGCGGGACCTCTGCAGCTTCAGGGCGTCAGCCCTGCCCCCCAGGAAGCAGGGTCCCCTGCGGTCCCAGCCCGGCAGCCCCACTGGGTCTCGCTCTCGCTCAAGGCACAGACCTCAGGCTGCGCGCAGCCGTCTGGCCTCTCTCCGGAGGAGTGCCGCCGCCCCTGCATCAGTCCGTGCGGAAGGTCGACCCTATTCCAAGTCTCCCGCAGCCGGCGGGGCCACCACTGGGAACTGGGCTCATCCACGGCTCCCCAGCGGGACAGGGCCGCCGCCGTCCTCAGCATCATGGTGACCAGCACCCACAGGGCGCCGGGAGAGGTGCTGTGGTCCCCAAGCCTCCGCCACACGTCCCCAGGGACCTTCCTGCAGCAGGAGCCGAGCGTCCCACGGGCCACGGCTGAGCCTGGGCCCTGGCAGTCCAGAGGGCCACGGTCCCTCCTCCCTGCACCCAGGTGCCCAGCAGGCTCAGGGCGCAGAGGGTGATGATGGTGGGTGCGGGTGTGGACCAGGGGTGGGTGACCGTGGCTGGGACAGAGTGGAGGTTGGTGACGCACACTCCAGCTGCACCCCACGTCCCCACGGCCTGCAGCCGCCTGTGTGGACTTGCTGGAGGGTGGGCAGGGAAGACCCGTGTGCGTGACATAAGACAGACTTGAGCCTTTGGTATTGACACTCTCTTGCCCAGATTGAGTGGAGCTCGAGAAGGACGGCAGGAGGGTCGGGGCACAGAGGCTGTGGGCCAGGCCGAGGGCAGCGATGGGGCCGGCCCGCGTGGATGGGGGCAGCCCACCCTCTGGCCAGCAGCATGTTGACCGCAGCCATCTCTCGGGGTACATTATAGATGATGTATTTTCTTTCTATTTCATCCGGGCTTTCCGAGTGGTTTTTCTCCTGGGCAGGTATTTCTTTTCTAACAAGACAAACGTTTGAAACTAGAAGCAGGGCAGGGAGCCTTCAGCCAAAGACCAGGCCTGGCCGGATGACAGCCACGAGGGCCACTCCCATCTGCCCCCATGCCAAAACCAGGGGTGGGGAATGAAAAGCAAAACCAGGCTTGGCGAGCCCCCACTTGGACGCCCCTTGCCAGGAAGATGGCCATCCTGCAGGCCGGGCCTGCCTTGGAGAGGGTGGCTCACCTTGCACACTGAGCTGGAAGCCGAAGCTTTTGGGGTGCCCACTTCTGGGGGCTGGAAGAGGGCAAGAAAGGACGTTTACCTCCCCCTGCTGCCCTTTCCCCCGTGGAACTCAGGTGACAGAAGTGGGAGCCACTGCGCAGGCTGTGCTTGCTGAAGTGAAGCTCCACGGGGCTTCCCGGCGAGAGCCTGCACCTTGGGACCGTGCGTGATCCTCCCCGTGGGCGCGGACTCCCGCTGCCTGGCTGGCGTTCCTGTGCCCACGGCCGCCCCAGAGCTGTAGGGCATGCAGGGGCTCGGGGGCGCCGGGCACACGACCTCGCTATTGGTGTCTTCCCAGAGTCCTCCAGTGCGGCTCGCTTAAAGCACAGCTGCCCCTAGGATAAAGGAGGAGTTGAGGTTCGCCTCCGGGAGCCCCTGGGTCATCTCAGGCCGCCGGTGCCCAGGCCAGGCTCAGAGAAGGAGACAAAGGACACAGAGGCTCCCAGCGTCCTCCCCTGCCCGCCTGGGTCCACTCTCGCCCAGCCCGCCCCAGCCCGCCCCAGCCCGGCCTCGCCAGCTCTCTCGGGGCCGTTCCTGCTGCCTGGCGAGCTCTTCCCTGGCCTCCGTCTCCCCCAGCTCCTCCTCCTCCTGAAGGTCTCATCCTGAACATCCTCCCTGGGCCTCCCTCGCTCCCCCCGGGCACCCCCGTGTCCCGGACTGGAAGCTCCGTCCCCGGCACGCTGCCCGGCACCTGGCGCACGGCTTGTAAATGAACGCGGCGAAAGGGAGGGAGGGGCCTGGCGCATGTGGACCCCGGCAGGGACAGGGCCAGGGACTCGGGGAGCTGCTGCCCCTGCAGACCTGGGCTCCCACCCCTGCCCCCAGGTGGCTTCTAGACCTGTGCAGACACCCCGGCGGCAGGTGTCTGCGGGCAGCTGCCCGGGTGACCTTGTGCGCTCACAGTGACCCGTGACGGTGTGACAGACAGGAGGGGCAGAGCTGGGGGAGGCAGCCACAGCCCCCCCACCTCCACCCCAGCAGGACCCACCTGGGGGGCTTCCCAGGCCTGCTGGTGTTGGGGTGTCGTCTGTCTGTGGACCCCCGGCCCAGCGCAGCAGGCCACTCAGAAGAGGCTTACACCCGGCCAAGGTCCCTGAGAAATGCCTCGGGGACGAGCAGGGGCGGGGGGCCTGCCCGTCCGAGCTGGACTCACACACAGAACATGCAGACCCGCCTGGCCCGAGCTTCGCAGCCGGGCTGTGCACTGGCGTGTGGGGGGCTCGGCCTCTGGTGACAGCCCAGTGTCTGGCCAAACGGCGCCCAGGGCCGTCCTGCCCGGGCACCACCGCCCCCTCCCACCCACTTCCTCTCCACCCACCTCCTTTCGCCAGGACCAGGTTTGAGCCCTTGGGGGGCTGAGGGGCTGGACGTGAGCGAGACTGCTCCTCTCCTTCCCCCAAAGCGACCTTCACCCAGGCCCGGAAAGAGGAAGAGCCAGGAACGGTCTGCGTGGGGACAGACCCCTGTTTCCAACACTCGGGGCTGCGCAGACTTGAGAACGGGGCTTGCCGGCTGGCGGCCCCGCAGCCCCCAGGAATCCATGTCCGGCCGGGCGGGCGGGAAATGGCAGCGAGAGGGGGGATGGGAGGAGGAGGCCGCTCTCGCCGGAGCGCGGAGACTCCCAGACAGCAAATGGATTTGATGGTGTTGAACTCGGACATTGATTTTTTTCCTAAATAAACATGCGGGAGGAAATGGTAACGGCATCTGCTTGTGGCGCGGATCAATTGACCCCAGATTGGAAGAGAATCTGGAAACAAACAAGCAGGAGGAAAGGTGGGTGGGCTTCCCAGGCTCATCCAGGGAGGGAGCAAGGGAGGAAGAGACAGACGGACAGACACACGGACTCATCATCCGTTTCCCCACCAAACAGCTTCCCTGCCCGCTGCTCGTGAGCAGACGTGGTTTCGGTGACGGCGGCTGTCACTGAGGGGCCCGCGCTCTGTGCCAAGCCGTGCAGAGCCCGAGCACGCACCTCTTATTCCGTCCTGACATGCCCGTGTGGGAGGCGCTGCTATACCCACTTCACAGACGACACCACTGAGGCCAAGGGCGCACAGCCTGGCAGCAGCAGAGCCGGCACCTCAGAGCCCACGCTGTCCACACTGCTTTCTGCCGACTTTCCAACCCGAGCTATTATTACCTGTCTCCCTAAATGGGCCTTGCAATTAAGAAGGGGGAGCCCCAGAAACCCAGTCAGTCAGTCCCTGGCCAGCAGCCCCGTGGCCTTCGGTCTGGAGCGGTCCGTGCGGAGCCCGTGCCCGTCCTGCGGGATCCAGCCAGCGGCCGCGGAGCATTCTCCAGCCCCCGGGGAGGCGGGGGCTGCCCTGCCCTGCCGACAGCCCTGCAGCCCTGTCCAGGGGCCCTTGCTGGTGACAGGTCCTGGTGGCCTGTCACCAGCAAGACGAACTGTGTCACGTCGCAGAGTGTCACAGGCCCGACTCGCCAAAACACCGCCAGGTTCCAGCGCCATTCGGCGAGCACGCCTGTGAGAAAAGGCTGACGGTCGCCGGCTGCATGGTTTGGCTTTGATTTCGAGGAGCTTCCTTTTGTGTCTTGGGCACGGACTTGCGTGCGTTTGTTTCGAAGCGATCTGGGTCTGGGACTGTGTAGCTAATGAATGCTGGGCCTATGAGTCCTGTTAACTAAAACTCCCTGATCTAGGGGCCCAGGATTCGAAAGCCGCCTTTAAGGCAGGATTAAGGCAAAGACGAGCTATTACTGGATGGAGCTGGGGCCGGCTTTCCTGAAGCCGCTGCGGAGCTGCCGCGGCAAGCTCTGCCGGGAGGGTCTCCGGCTCCGTCCGGCACTGGCTCTGTGCCCGGCTCATAGTAAGTGTTCGCAGGGTGGACAGTCCCCACCCCAGCATGTGCATCCTGTGTAACACATATTAGGTGCTGAGTAAACTTGAAAGGGACGGGACGGGTGCAGTGGCTCCAGCCTGTAATCCTAGCACTTTGGGAGGCCGGGGCGGGAGGATCACTTGAGCCCAGGAGTTTGAGGCCAGCCTGAACAAGAACGAGACCTCGTCTCTACTAAAAACAGAAAGAAATTAATTGGCCAGCTAAAAATATATAGAAAAAATTACCCAGGCATGGTGGCGCATGCCTGTAGTCCCAGCTACTCGGCAGGCTGAGGCAGGAGGATCACTGAGCCCAGGAGTGTGAGGTTGCTGTGAGCCAGGCTGACGCCACAGCACTCTAGCCCGAGCAACAGAGCAAGACTCTGTCTCACAACAAACAAACAAATAAAAACGCGAATGGGACGGACTGCTGGGCACAGACGGGCCCCCTGCAGCCGTGCCCAGGAACTGTCCGTGAGCTCGAGGGACGAGTGGACCGGTGAGTGGACGTCCTCTGCAGCCCGGGGCGCGCGCCCTCTAACCGCCCGCCTTCCCTTCCAGGCGACACGTGCACCGTGGCCGGCCACGCCCGCCTGAAGAGCGTCCTCCTGGCGCTGCAGGCCCGCCGGCGGCCCCCCCAGGAGGGGCACGGCAGGCCAGACGCCCCCTCCCAGAGGCGCCTGCTGGTGGAGTCTCTGTTCAAGGACTTGGACGCGGACGGCGACGGCCACGTCAGCGGCGCGGAGCTGGCGCAGGTGGGTGTGGCCTGGGTGACAGTCTGTCGGGGAGGAGCGGTGCCCGCCCAGGGGTGCGTGGAAGGGGGCCGGGCGGCCACACTGGGGCAGCCGTTTGTGCCTCTCTCTTCTAAGGGAGAGAGGCCTCCTCCCAGCCTCCCGGGGTCAGGGAGCCTGTGTTCGACGCCCCTGAGAGCAGGTGACAAACCAGATGGCGGCAGCTTTTCCTTCCCAGCAGCCACTGCGTGCACGCCGTCAGGAAATCAGTTAGGAAATCGGTCTCTTCTTCCTTGAGTCCTTTGCTTTCCTCAGCAGGAAGGTCGCAGGAAAGCAGTGTTTGGTTCCACCAGACACCTCTGGAGCCGGGGGTCCCCAAGTCCCCCACCCTAGGCCGTCACTGCTCTTTGCTGTCCCAGTACCCACACCCCAGGCCCCAGCCTGCGTGCGTGCACCCCCAGGCCCTGCCGTCACTGGGAAGCCTCTGCATGGCACCCCGTGGGCGCCTCTCTCCCCAACGGCTGTGGGTTTGCACACGGCACTCGTGTTTGCACACGGTCCAGCTAGGGAGTAGTGCGAGGGGACTTAGTGTCCGCAGCAGAGACAGCAGTGAGAGAGCGACTTCACCCCCTGGGCCCTGGCCCCAGCCCCCATGGGAGGGTTATGGTTAGGGGTTCGGGCACAGTGCCCGGCACGTGGTGTGCTTGGTGGTCAGTATTGTCATCGTCATCCTCGTTGTTGTCCCTCCTTGAACTTTTCAGTCCTACTCTGCTATCAGGCGGGGGCTGCTGTTATCCCACTTTACAGACATTCTCAGATGGGGAAACTGAGGCTCTCGGAAACCGAGCGACTTGCCTGAGTCGCGTTCACTGCCCGGGACGTAGTGAAGCCTGGTGGGCTGCCTGCAGGCGCCTGCCCTCCCCACGGTGCAGGGGCCTCGCTGGGGAGCGTGGCTCTCGCCACCGGCACCACGTGGCCCGTCAAGGTCTGAGGGGACAGCGATGCCCACAGGGTCCCGGCAAGGGGCAGCCGCCCCAAGGCCTCCGCCCCCGCCAGTCCAGAGCTGCTCGTCTCAGGTGACTCCGCTCACCCCCCCACCCCGTGAGCAGCGACGGCTGAGTCTCAGGGCTCTGCCGCCCACGGCCCCCAGGGCCCCCTGCCAGCAGGTCACCACTGTCAGCCATCAGCAGGAAGCCCCAGCTCGGGCTGAGAGCCCAGAGGGCAGACCTGAGCCGCTCCGGGCAAATCCCAGGCCTTGTCAGTCACGGCGGCCTGCAGGGAGAGCCACCTGCGACTCCCCTTGTACAGGCTGTTCCAGGAGCCCAGGACGGGTGGCACCAGCTTGCCCCACTGCGATGGAGGCGGCCGCGCGCTCCGGCACCCCTGGCCCGTGTGACTCCCAGGTGACGCCCAGGTGAACAGAGCGTTCCCGGGCACGCTGCTCTGATCTGGCGAATCGGGCCCGGCCCGCCTGAAGCCATTAACGAGCACGGTAATTGGACCATGATCCCCTCTTCAAGATTTAACATGCTTAAAGTTCATTTCATAAATCTGCCCAGCAGAGCGCAGCTAACGTGGGCTTTTCCTTGACGCCGAGTCAAAGGCGCCCGGAAAGACCCATCGGTCCTGCGCAGGGCGAATCAATTTCCAATGCAGAACCAGACAAAAGGGAAATTTCTGTCTTCGGAAGATTGATCTCGGGCGTTCCGCTTGATCTCCCTTTCATCGAACGCTCTCACTTGCCGGGGAAGGGTCATTTTTTTAACATTATCACATTAAATTGCCTTTAATATAGCAGGCCAAGCCAAGAATGTTAAATAAAGAGAAAATGCGTCTGACCCTTTCCCCGCCTCCCCCCAAAATAAAATAAAATCATTTTCTTTCTTCCGAGACTTCCTTGGCCAACTAAAAATATATAGAAAAAATTAGCCGGGCATGGTGGCGCATGCCTGTAGTCCCAGCTACTCGGGAGGCTGAGGTAGTAGGATCGCTGAGCCCAGGAGTTGGAGGTTGCTGTGAGCTAGGCTGATACCACGGCACTCACTCTAGCCCAGGCAAGGGCTCTGGCATTGGCAAGGGCTGGTGGGTGGAGGGTCCGTAGATGGAGCGGTGACCCCCAGCTCCAGGTGCTTAGGAGCCAGCGGACGTCCACCCCGCGCTGCGCCCGGCCACCCTTTGCTGGGTTCATCTGACGAGGCCCCTTCTCTTCTCCTTTCCCCCGGTCGGTAGCACTTGGGGACAGCAGGTGGCCTCGAGGATCCTCCCCATCTCGGACTGTCTGTGGCCTGTCTGCCCAGCTGGGGAAAGGACAGACCTGAGCTCTAGTCTGCACTCCGCTGTCACTGCTATGTGACCGTGGGCAGCCACTCCCCCTCTCTGAGCCTCAGTTTCCTCATCTGTAAAATGGGAGGTTGGACGGGACAAAACCTGAGAGCTCCGGGTGTCCCCTTCCCCCCCACCGCGCTGCTCTCACCTGCCCCACCTCCCCTCCCCCCACAGCACGCGCTGCAGCGGCAGGACCTGGACGAGGACCTGCGCGGCTGCTCTCCCGCCGACCTCCTGCGCTTCGACGACTACAACGGCGACGGCGCCCTGACCCTGCGCGAGCTCTGCACGGCCTTCCGTAAGTCGCCACCGGGCGCCAGCGGGCGGGTGCGCCTGTTCCCGCGGATGCGGCGGGCGGGTGCGCTTGTTCTCACCAATACAGTGGGTGGGTGAGCCTGTTCTGGTAGATGCGGCGGGCGGGTGCGCCTGTTCCCGCGGTTGACGTCCTCGCACCAGGCGGTATGGGGGACGGTGTCGGGGACAGGAGTGAGTCCGTCCTCAGCGTGTCCCAGGTGGACGCAGGCGGCTGCTGCACCTGGCTTTAGCAGAAGGCGAAGGAGAGGGGCGGGGCCAAGAGGGCACCCTGCTCCTCTCGGGTGAAGGTTGTCCTCGCCATCGGGGGACCGACCGAGACTGGAGCGAGGACTCGAAGGCCGGACAGCCCCTGAGGGTCCGAGGGCGGCACGTGCAGGGAGGGATTCGTGGGGCCATCCGGGAGCCCGGCGTGGGGAAGCCCTGTGAGGGGCCCGGAGGCCTGGCCGGGCAGGGGCAGGGGGTGCCCGGAGAGGACCAGGAGGCGGGTGCTCCTGTGAACCAGATGGGGGACCCGGGCGGCCCCTCCGTGGAGTCCCTGGCCCCACCACGAGCGTGTCTTCCCCCTGAGTCACCTCCCGAGAGGTCACGGCACGTCAGCCACGGGCAGGGCTGGGGCAGGGCACAGACAGGGCAAGAGCTAGCGCCGGGTGCACAGCAGGTCAGCGGAGAGGAGAGGGCCGTGCTGGGCCCCAGCTGGAGATGGGGGGACATTCCCGGCCCAAGAGAGGACGGGCTCTGACGCTGGGAGGCGTTCAGGCTCTGCTTGAAGCAGGTGCCGGACTCGCCCTGCGGGATGCACCTGCCGTGACCTGCCGGCTCCCGCGCCGACCGCGGGCCCTGCCCTGGGAGGTGGGGCGAGCCCCCCAGGGCGCCGGTGCTCCCGGCGCAGACCCTGGCTCCCCCCTCGGCCCAGCCTGGGCCTGGGGGCCCGTCCCTTGGGAAGGTGCTCCTGCTCCGTGTTGACATCCCTGAGCTGCGGCTGCCCCTGGAAAGGGTCCTTGTGACGCGCTGGCAAGCAGGGCTCTCGTGGCAAACAGAAGAGGTGCCTGGATGACACAGGGGGGACACGGGTGTGACTCTGCTATGGGAAGTGTCAGGAGCTTGGCACGGTTGGAGGGAGCGGCCTTTCCAGTTCACGGCGTCCTTAGTACCAGGGACCAAAGCCCAACCCCCAATCATACGGCTGCGCCTGTGCAGGGTCCCCGTCATCCTCCTCCCTGCCCACTAGTGAAGCTCCTGTGTGCTTACACTAGTTCACGCTAAGGTGTGAATGACCGCTTGGCTTATCCTGCTGCAGCAGGTCTTTGCTTTGTAGACCAAGGAATTTATTGCCAGAAACATGTCTCTAAATTCTAGCGTACATGCAACTATCAGCAGCTCCCTAGACTTGGCTCATGAGAGCTGATTATTAAATTTTCAGGAATTTTGCAAGCAAACAGCACTTGGTAGCTTTCAATCAGCCATGATGGGAATATTCACACCACAGAAATTTACACCGTACATGTGCTTCCCAAAATGGGGAGGTGGGGTACTTTCTCCTTCTCCAGAAAGGCCGCCGTTCAATATTGATCCGCATGTCACTGGACAGGACCGTCCCTCCCACCCCTAGAGTCCACTTCCGACAACATCCTCTCCCTCCGCCCCCCGGAACCAGGACCCCGTGGTGACTCTTAATTCCGTCACACAGTTAGGGGAGATGACAGGCAGAGCAGCTCTCCAAGGCAGGAAAGAGGCAGCCCGTTCTCTGGGATGGATCCGAGACATACCCAGAAATGCTTTCCGGGCCCGTCTGCCAAGGAGCTGTGAAGAGGAAGGTCAGGGCGTGTGAGGAGCTTCCTGCCAAGGCCGGGCTTCCAGGGCGTCCAGGTGTTCTAGCCTTCAGCACTCACTGTCCCGGGTCGGAGCCGTTCAGCAGAGACTGGCACCCCGGGGCACCCCCTCGAACCTGGTACCACGGCAGCCTCTGCCCCGTGGCCTCAAGTCCTGGGAACTGGTCTGTGGACAACAGCAAGCCCTTGGCCTTGCTCTCGGGGAAACAGAGGCACGCCTGTTGCCCCTGATGCAGGGGACGCCCCCTGGCTTCCCTAGGAACGAGAGCTACCCTGGCAGAGGGGGGTCACCCCTCTCCTCAGACACGGGGCTCATGCAGAGCGATGTGGTGTCTGCTCCCGGCATTCCCGGATGATTACTTGAAAGGCTTCATCATCATCGTTTTTAAAGCAGATTAGATTCCGCTGTTGCCTTGGACTTGTTTTCAACCAGGCGGCCAAACCATTCATCACAGCCCGAATAATAGATATGCAATAAAATGTAAACTCTCGGCCATTAAGGAAGCCACAGAATGAGTTAACCCCACTATGAAGGCTCGACCCCCTCCAGAGCACCCGAGGATCAATGGCTTTTCAAGTCAGGACTCCAACAAAACTCCCCAGCCCCTGGAAAATGATGTAGCAATTTAAACAGGAATTGAAATAGACCCCAATATGGTACAATACCGCAATCGATGGCATTAAAAAATCTCACGAAATCCGAAAAGTAAATATCCAAAACATGTTCAACAACACATTTTTAATAATCGAAAACGAGCAGAGGCCTGGCGGCTGAGACTGCAACGTTTAATTTCTGGGGATCGTTTCGCTTGCAATCCTCGGGGTGGCGCAGTGCGGGCAGGGCGTGTTGGTGGCTGGGCGGCGCCGCTTGGTAATCTTCTAAACGCAGCCTGATTTGCTCGACAAAAGATGATTGTGGGTTTTCCCTGGGAAAAGAAACACTATAAATTTTGAGATTGAGCGTGGCCCTAAACCGCATTTGCCGTGTGGCCCGGGCCTGGATGCCACAAAATTCCCATACTAGGGGTACGCCGGACCCACGGCCGGGGTCCGTGCTGACCGATCAACCAGGCTAAGCAGGGCTGCAACTCTTCCCTGCTCTGGGGAACAGGACCGCCCTCCCAGGAGGAAGCGGGAGCAGGCAGGTCCTCAACCCTGGAGCCAGCTCAGGTCTCTTCGACGCAGTGCAGCTGAAGCTCCCAATCGCCTGTGTCCCACCAGAAAGAGAAGAACGGGGGGGTGGCCCTCCCCGTTTCTCCTTAACAACTAAACATGCCGGCAAGTTCTTCTGGCCCAAGCCAAAGGCTGATTAGAGCAAAGCACAGTGTCCTCCCAGCACGGGCACCCCACCCCCGCCCTGTGCGTCAACAAGGAATAGAGTCACCTGTCCCTGCCGTGGCAGAGACCATGCTCCAGGGGCGCTGATCAGCAAGGTGTGTGTTGACCGCGTGTGTTCATCACGGTAAATCAGTCCAAGAGTTGCTGGTCTAAAAAGCTTCTCCACGATGCATGGTTTTTATACTCTCCTGAATGCCCGGAGTGGGAACCACAGGAAAAACATGTTGCTCACATGAGGACTTCTCTCTCTGGCTTTAAATTCATTACAAGTTTCTTCTGCTTTTTGAAAAGATGCTTGCCCTTTTAATTAATCCCACCAGAGCAACGCTGGCGAACGTGTTGCAGGCTCGGGCAGGGTGTGAGCAGCCAGCGGCACAGGACGAAGGGCTTCCCGTGGCCCCGGCCCGGGACCGCACCTGCGGGGTGTCGGGAAGACCTGGGGCGCCGAGAGCGCGAGCGTCAGACGCCCTCCCTCCCCTGTGGCACTATGAGCTCCGGGCAAGCAGACGGGGAAAACCGTGTTTTAATCTGATTACTGCCCTGTTGCGCTGCCCTGTAGCCGGGGCAAGTCTGGGACTCCCACGAAGTGGTCGCCTGGTTTTCCTGCCGTTGTTGCCGCAGAGTGAAGGGTCCTCACTGGTCCTCACTGCCACCCGCGATGAGCAGGGTGTTAGGGTCAGCAGCGGAAGGCAGCCGTGCTACCCACATTTACACAGGTCTTTGTCCGTGTGGGGTGAGTTCAGACAGGGGGCTTGGGCGGCGAAGACCCTGTGTTTTCCTGCCCCGTTTGGCTCCCGAGCTCTGGAGACTGAGCAGCAAGATCTCAGACAGCACGGGGCCCGTCGGAAATTTTATCTGGACTGACTTGGCTCTCGGATTTGGAGGGAAAGGGATGCCCGTGCACGGGTCTCGGTTTCTGCCGAGGCCAAGACCGTTGGTGAGTGCCCCAGCCCCCACGGAGGAGCCGGCTCCTGCTGCAGGACTTCGGGTACAGTGGCCAGAAGACCGGCTCCCCTTCCTTGGTCCCCCGTTCACTCAAGGGCACAAAACAGTTGAAGCCAGAGTGGCCAAGGGGGGAATTGAAGATCGGAAGGCAGAAGGTGTGAGTCTCACCACCCCGTCCCAGGGGACAGACACTGGGGTCCCCTGCTGACTTCATGGAGATGGACACGTGAGCTGCTGAGTGCCCCGAGGCCAGGGACACTGAGCTCAGCGTCCCATCTGAATGCTGTCCCTTGTCAGTGTTGTCAGTGTTGCTGTAGTTAGTAACAGGCTCTTACATAAAGTGATATGCAACATTTAACATGTGTCGGCACTGTGTACCACATCCAGCTGTACTGAGAGCAGACTCAGAGAAGTTAAGCAGCTAACTCAAGGTCACACAGCCAGCAGGGAGCAAAATCGGGATTGAACCCACATGTCTAATTCCAGAACCTTCTCATGCATTCAAACACACTTTGCAGCTCATCGGCATTCTCCAGTAAGGAGAACCTCGGTTTCCACAGCGATCGCCCTAAACTTCAAGCCCAAGCTCAGTGGTCTCCTCCTCCATGAAGTCCTCCTCAATTTCTCTTCCCTCAGCCGAGCCCCACATGCCTCCCTCTCTGTCCACAGCCCTGTTTTTGTCTCTCTGTAGGCACTGGACTGTGACTGGTGGTTAAAAGTGTGACCTCCAGAGTCCAAGTGAGACCTGGGCTTGACTGTCTATTCTGCCACCTACTAAATGTGTGACTTTGGACAGCTCTTAACCGGAGGTTAACCTGGGCTGCACGTTCCTCATCTGTAAAATGGGCATGGTAACAGACAGGACTAAATG